ATAATATTTTATACTGTCTCACATCAGCTTCATTTTGAGAACATCATGTGAGACTCCGTGAAACTAAATCTAAGATACATGATGTCCGCTACTCGTATCCATTTTTCACAAACCTTTTATCCTGATACAAAAAAAAAAAAAAAGTAGTCTTGATCTGACCAACTCTGCGTCTTGTCTAGGCTCCTTGCTATCTTCCAAGCACGTAGAAATTATTTAGCTACTTTTCATGATGTTTTTCCAGATATTAAAGCAAGGCTGACCTGGTATTGCACCAATGTAGGAAGTCACAGGCTCTTGTCATGCACCTGCCTGAACTTGGTGCAAGCCCCTGTGGCCAAGAAGCCAGAGCCACAGTGACGCGGCAGTAGCTGGGCACGTGGCGGGTGGGAAGGAGGGGATGTGAGTGGCATTGGTGACACCTGGTGATGAGCCCGAGGAACAGAGCAGAGGCTGCGGCTGGAGCACATCTCATGTGAGCGGGTGCTCACCCGGGCTGCCCGTGCACCCGCTGTGGGGCATCCACCTGGAGAAGAAGTACAGGATTTTATAGACAGTTTTAAAAATGCCAGAGATGGAAAGACTACACACATTATGACAAGTTATTCTAAGGGGTAATTAACTATTAGATGTTTTACTCTTGCTATTAAAAATGCGCCTCTTCCCACCTGTGTTTCTCCAGCTTCAGCTTCCTGGCCGGGTCTCGCTGCGCCTCGTGCACTGGCATGGACACTGCTGCAGGGAGCAGCTCCCCTGCGCGCTCCACTCCTCTCCCCTCCTCGGGAAGGCCGGTAAGCTCTGCTGGGACCAGGATGGCTGTGGCGTGCCCATGTGGCAGGACGCAGGGGCTCTCAGAGGCTGCGGTGTTGCCAGCCTGTCCGTCCCGCCCCATGCATCCCTGACCGACCCTCACCCATGCATCCCTGGCTGCTGCACGGTGCCGGTGCACGGGCACCTCCGCGCGGCGCTCGGCTGCCAGCCCCGCTGCGACGCTCCCGTGGCCCCTCTCCCAACCTCCCTTGTTCAGCAGCAATTCCAAAATGCCGTCCCCAGAGCGGGATGTCCCGGCAGGACAGCAGGCAAATTTCAGCCTCCGTGCACTGCTGCCTAGTGCTGTGTACAAACATGCAGCCACACACCATGGCAGAAGACCTCAGTTAATATTTCTGTTCCATGTTTGAAACAATGATGGGTAATACTCATATTTCATGGTGGTAATGAAATACTGCTTTTTATTCCATCAGTAGTTAAGGAAGATGCTAAAGACAAACTGCTAAAGAAACAATTTTTATAATCTGCAGAAAGGTAACTTCCATCTAAGAGTGTTAGAGTGTTTAATTGACTAATGAGATCGCTGAACAATTGATTTTTTTTTTCTTTCTAACTAGTCATGGCACACTGGGGAACTTAAGATAACTGAGAACAAAAAGTGTAATGTCTTACCAGTATTTCAATATGTTCACATGAGTACCCAAGAAACTGTAGAGCACTTAGTTCAACACAGATCCAAAGCAATCACAAACAGCAAGGGTTGTTCTGGGCAGAACGAGTAAAAACTGGAATCCAAATTAATGTCAACTAGCATTTCTAATTAAATGATGTGATTTCAAACATTTTGATATCGTCTTTTGGCAAAACTACACATTGAATATAATATTCTTTTGAAATACAATCTCATGAAATATGACACTATGATAACCAAGGGGTTTGGGCAGATCTCACATCCCTTCTGCCATGAGCAGGTTGCAAACAACTATCACAGCTTCCCCCAGGGAGCAACACCGTCGGAGTGCAGCAGAAGCGGGAGGACCCGCAGCACCGAGGAACATGTGCAGGAACAGGCAGGAACTGCTGGCAGAGCCTTCAGATACAGTGGTACACTGAGTGAAACTAGCAGGTGATAGCATAAGAACAAATAAAAGGAGATCAACGTCATGTGCAACTGGGTTATGAGCTCCTTGTCACAAGTGGGGCCTGCAGCCCTCACTCCTCACATAACTGCTGTCCCAGCAAGGACATGCAATCCTGAACTAGAGGCTTTCCAAGAGGGGAAGTTAAAAGCTGGTTATATTGCCAGTGTGTGCTCAGGAACACAAAACCTTTCTAATTTCTTCTTGTGATTGTTTCTAAAAATCAACTGCTAACGGATTAGCAAAACTGAGTTAAACTCAGAGCCTTTTTCAGCACTTGCCTTGACATTTTCTAATAGTTTCAGTCTAAAGAAAAGCTTGAGTGCCCCAAAGATATTTGATTATTTTTTTCAGGTTTCTCTGTGACATAGGATCATATGTTCCTGTCATGTGTCTTCATGGCATGGTGCACCCAAGGTGTGAACACATCAGAGATGGCACACAGACCTCATGTAGTTATTTCAAGCTTGCTCTTCAGAGCAGCCTGGACAGTTGTTTAGGGTGGTGAGAACCAGCGGAGCAGAGCTGCACCCTGAGTCCCGATGGAGGCAGAGGAGGACAGAGCCACTAGGCCTGCTGTGCTATTTAATCTCAACCTGTGTGGCAGCTTCCTGGCTCTGAGGTAGCTGTTAACAGAGGCCTTGCAAGAACAGTGCACAGAGAAGATAAGCTGCAGTATTGCCCCAGGGAGACTCTCCCACCAGCTGCAGTTCAGGTGCTCCTTGAGCAAGAAGTGGCTTCCAGTCTGCCCCGGTTAATGGCCACCAATGACTTCTTTGATTTTGTCTAATCATTTTTTTGGACATTAGTAAGATTTGGCCTTCACAACACGCTGTAGCAAAGAGCCCCACAGTATAATTATGTGTTGCAATAAAAAAAAAAAAAAAGTTTTGTTTTCCTTGTTGCTCCTTGCTCCTTTGGAAGACCCTAACTCTAATACCCTCTCTGCCCTCACGAGAACTGTAGAAACAGTCCCAGCTAACTGAAGTTGGTGGGTGGTTTTAATGCACTATGGTCAGCACTCTGCACTGCACAAGCAACACAAGTCCTGACTGCAGTGAGTCGAGAGAGACAGGGATCCGTGTGCCTATGGGCACTTGTTCCCCTCCCAGCACGGTGCTCTATTGCCTTTGTGAAGCCATGGCCTGGGTTGCAGGGCTGTCCTGCCAAGCCGTGGTGGGGCAGACCCCACTCCTGCATGAATGTGTGTATGAATGTATGAATGGCATTGTCAAAACCCAGAGGACTCCTGAACAGCCCCATTTGCCCTGCCCCCAAGTAGTGCCTCCAAAGGCCATGATTTTCCAAAGGTGTTTTCCATCAGAATATCTTTGGGCTGGAGAGCTGCCACTCTGTTGTGTGCCAAGGCACTCAGCCTACCTACTTACTAGTCTCCTAAGGCCCCGCATGCCTGTGTGGTCCTGGGCTGACCACAGAAATGGGAGCCAAACTGTTCCCCATCCTTTGGCTCCAACTTCTATCTCAGCCACAACCTCGCTGGTGTCTTGCCACAAAAACCACAGATCCCAACAGAAAGGTAAAGCACTAGTGCATTCCACATGCTGAGTCAGTTTTTCTGAGCTATTAATATCTATCAGAAATGATGTAGGAACAGTGCAGTAATACACTGAATGAACATCAGCGAGAATCCATAAAGCACATTCCTGAGGCAAGTCATGTTCTTCAAGAAAAGAGAAAGCTAAAAAAAAATGTTTATAATGCATTGTTTCCTAAGTGTTACCATGCAAGTTCATGGATGAAAGGCAGCAGGTTGTCTGAGAGAAAAAGTAATGGGAGTGTAAGAATTATGATGTCAGGGACCTTCTTTAGAGAGCAAATGCTGCTCCTCTCTGGCATGTAGGAAAATGTCTTTTTAGCAGACATGCACCGCTAGGTGCAAAGCCACTGTATAAACAGCTCCTCTGCCCTGGGGAAAGCAGGTGTTTTTAGACCCACTCTTACATTTCACAGGTAACCAGAAGAGCCCTGAGCACAATTGCTTCACACTCCATGACTGCCCCTGTGGAACTGCAGTGGACATTGACCTGTGCAGGGCCAGTCCACGAAACCTAAAGCTGACAGTAGCCAGCAGCCTCCATCAAGGGCTGCCAGACCACTGGCCTGTGAATGCATCACAGTCTGAACCCACAGCTGGGAGAGAGGTTGCCTTCCAGTTAGCCATTTAAGAGTGGATGATGCTTTAATCTCTTTATAATCGCTCTCAATTGCAGAAGCAAACATTGCCCTTCACCTTGTCTGCTGCACATGCAGTCCAGCAGCAGGGCTGCACTTTGCTCTCACAGATGCTACTGGGCTGCCACGGGAGCTGGCTGCTCCATACCAAGGGAGAAGCGTTCCCCCAGCACACCTGAATTCCACACAAAGGTCCTCAGCACAGGCACAAGCACTGCTGTTTGCCCCCCAGGGCAAGGCCAACAACACAGACATTGCTCCTGCATAAGAAATGTTTGCTTGGAAGGACACAGCCACCACACATCCCTCCATGCCCTCTGATGGGCAGACAAGGGCAAATATTTGAGAGGGCCTATGCCCATTATGTGCCACTATGCATGGCATGTCACATGTCCAGACTGTATGAGGGGCAGCCTTCCAGGCAAGGCAGAAGCTGTTCTCTGGTAGACATAAACAGAGACCAGGTTTTATTCCAAATACCCTTGGTTACAAACTGTAAACACCTTCAGGAAGGCAGAATCCCAACAAATGTCCAGGGCCACAGAGCTGCTTGGATAAGGTCTGAGTTTGCAGATTTGGGCTAGAGCAATTTGGTATCCTGCAACTAGCACTGTGATCAATGAAGAATGTGCTCCTGGTCCCATGAAGTGCCCTAACCTCCCTCTCTTGTTTTTCCTAGTTTGACATAGATAATATAGGTAAACAGAGTGCTCCAAAATAGGTCCATGAGACAGGGCTGACATGGACTAGCAGACACGGACATGGTGGCAGGATTGGGGGCTGAATAGGAGGAGGATAACATGGACAGGTGGGAGATGGGGAAGGGAGACACCTGGGTTGGTGCAGGCTGCACTGGCAGGAACTGAACCCTGGCACAGGGACGCAGTTGAGCCTCATCCCTTAGTAGAGAACATCTTCAAAGCCGAGCAGTAGGAACTGGTGCAAGGCACTCGGCAGGTGCAGCTGTGACAGGACCTGAAGCAACCGGCCCTCCAGGAGGGTCCTGAGTTTGCAGCGAGCCAGATGCTGCAAGGAGCGAGGACTTTGCTCCAGGGCGAAGAGTGACTGGTAGAAATCTGGATATTTCTACAGGAAGAGGAGAGAGAGAGGAACAGAGCTAGATAAAACTATAGACATCCTGGAAGCAGAGAGGTAGAGCCAGAGCTAGAGCACCTAAATTACTGCAGGGAATCCACTCCTGCTCTCCAGCTGCTCCTCTCCCTATCCCCCCACCACAGCCCAGGGCCCCCCCAGTGCCCTGCCCAGGGAGCCCAGGCTGCCCTGCATCCTCTCACCTCCACCACCTCCGCTGGAACGGCCTCCACCCAGTCCTCAGTCACACGCACGTGCTCATAACTGTTCATCAGGGCCTCGATGACACGTGGGCACTTGTGGCAGTACCGCAGCACCTGGAGCAGGGAAAGGGCAATGAGCACAGCACATGGTCCAGGTCCTTCAAGCTCCACCACCTTCACATGCTACAAAAGCTGCACATATTCAGAAATGACCACAGACTATCTGCCCATCCCTGGTGCTGTCCTGGGAAATCACTCCACTGATGCCAGGTAGACTCTGATCACTGTCTCTGCTCTCAGGGCATCCCGCAAAGATGGGACTGAGCCAACACCCAGCACATGCTGCATGGCTGCATTCAGCACAGCCAGATCCCCTCTGCCTTGGTGTGAGGTCTCATGTGTGAAGCTAGGACAGAGACCCCCTTCTCTGTCTCACCACCACCCAGGGCTTGTGAACTCTGCTTTGTGTCAGGCTCCTTTCCACACAGCTGTCTGGTTAGAACATGAGCGGCTTTGGGGCAAGAACTGGCAGATGATTTGTGTGCAGAGACACTAAAACATGCAGCACTAATGCCAAATGCCACACAGAAACATCAGGGATGCAGTGTGCCTGTACCAAGGGAGGTTGCAGAGACACCCTGTATCTGCGCTGGGTGCAATGTAGGGCCTATGAGACACCATGCCCTTGTTAGCTGCTACACAGAGGCTGCAGGAGATACTTCACCCATTCAGTGGTAGCCAGACATGTCTGGCGGGTACCAGGCCTGTGCTCACCACACACAGGTGCCTGTGCATCCAAGGCCTCCAGCGTGGCCTTCAGAGCAGAGCCCACCTACACAGAGCTGCACCCAGGTGGAGCCCCCAGCTCCCAGCTCACACTCCCCCCTGCTCAGGCCAGCAGTAGCTGTCAGAGCCTATTCCGGCTGTACCAGTGATCCTCATTATCTGGCGTTAATAGGAGATTAATTAGTGTTAATTGTTGATTTTCCTGTATTTTCCCAAAGGGGAGAGCAATCTGCTGATCTCCGGGCTGGGTAATTATTGCAGTACTCGGGAATTAAGACAAGCAATTAACCCTTTGTTTTCTGGTGTCTTGTAGAGCCAGTATGAGTTGGAGGGCAGGTCCCAGAGAGGAAACACGCCACCCAAGGGGAAAGGGGTGAGTATGTTCAGGGCCAAACAACTGGGGCTATGGGTAGAGACTGTTCACACAGCTTAGCAGACAGTGTTAACAGAAGCAGGAGAGTCCCACAGGAGAACATGGCCTAGGAGAAAGCTTCAGAGAATCCCCCAGCAACTCCCCTCCCCCAGATACTGGGAGGAGATAGGCAGGACAGAGAGCTGGCAAGGTGCAGAACAAACCCTGCTGCAGCACTGACATTCTTGCTCTCACAGGGGCCTTAGCATCCACTGCCTTCCTGCCCTGCTCCCAGGAAAGCGCTGGGTCCTGCACCTTGAGGAGGGAGCCAGGCCAGATGCGGATGGCACCGTAGTTGAGCAGGGCTCGGACCACAAGCTCTGGATGGTGCTCCAGCTTGTAGGCAGTCATTTGCAAGATATTGTGCAGTGCTGTGTTGCCACTGTAGTTCATGATGTTGACATGTGCACCCCGGGCCAGTAGTAATTCTACTACTTGAGCATTGGCGTTCTTGCAGGCCAAATGAAGCGGGTGCTGGCGGTCCCTGTCTGCAGCATTGACGTTAGCACCACTCTCCACCAGAAGCTGGCAGACCCTGTAGTAGCGTTCCATGTCCTGAGGCTGATGGGGCTGAGCACAGGCAGCATTCAGTGGCGTCTGTCCCTCTTCATTCTTTGCTTCCAGCTCTGCCCCATGGCGCAGAAGCAGTCCGACGTGGTCTGCCAGGCCATGTCGTGCTGCCACATGCAGTGCTGTGTCGTCTTCCTCCTCTGTCCGGCTGTTCACACTGGCACCGTGCTGCAACAGCTGCTGGACACACCTGTGCAGCCCAAGATGACTTAGTGATAGACTCTCCTAACTCCTGTTTTACCTGTCCCTCTACCTTTTCCCAGCTGTGCAAACCCATGGCTTTCACTTTTCTAAACAATCCCAAAGCCCCACTCCCCATGCCCTGGAGCAGTGGCTTTAAGCCAGGAGGACTGATGAGCAGACATACTGTCACCCTGATTGCAGCCAGCTCCTCAGAGCCTTAGTGAGTGTCACCAAAGTGCCAGTCTGTGCCCACGCACCTGGAGGTGTGTGTACCATGCACGGCTTGAGTGTTGCAGTGTGACCATAGGCCTGCACTGCTGACAGAGGGCTCACTGGCTCTGAGGACAGATCTTGCAGGCAGCTGTTGTGCTTCAGAAGTGGCAGCTGCTCCAGGAACACACCAGAAGGCCATATCCTATTCCATATAAGGCCACCCTATTCCGCAGCCACAGCTGCAAGCACTACTCCACCTGTAGCTATGAGCAGCACCCCCTTCTGCATAGGGAAGACTTGTGGGGGAGGAGGTTCACCACAGCCCTCAGGCGCAACTCACTGGATAGAATCCGGACTCTTGCAGAAATGCAGAGGCTTGTAGCCATCCTCAGAGACAGCCTCGGGGTCAGCTCCGAAGCTGAGCAGCAGGCGCACGCAGTCCGTACTGGCTGCTGCACAAGCTTCATGCAGGGCAGTCTTGCCCCCTGGCGCGAAGTTAACGGAAGCGCCCCTGAGGAGCAGAAAAGCCTGGGGCCCAGACCTGCCCTTTCCCTCCTGCTCCTTGCCATACCTTCCCTCTTGAGTAGCAGGCTTCCCCTCAAGAGGCTGTTTCTTGCTGCCAGCCTCTGCCCCACAGGGCCCCTGGCCTGTGAAAGGATGACACTCTGTTGGAGGGCATCTCTCTAAGCTGCATGGTCACACTGCCAAGGAAGCCTCGGGGCAGGAACTGTTCTAGGAGTTGACTTTTCCCCTGCAGCTCAGTCATGCAGTACTGGGTTTCTTTTGGCAGAAACAGAGTAAATGAGGGACCCAAGGGGGCTAGGAAGCAGCATGGTGGTTGGGAAGAGCACCATGCATGCAGCACCACAAATACAAGGAACCAGGTAGTAAAACAAGGACACATAGGAGCAGGCTGCCAGGGCACGAACACAGGAGATTCAAGCCCTAAGCATAACATGGATAAGCAAGTTGGGGCAAGAGGCATCTGGGGCTTAAGAAGGAGCAAAGAGCTGAAACGCATCAATTCTCAAACACTGACCCAGGTGAAACCATTGCTGCTGTGGTCTGCTGATAAACAACCTGCAGCTGTCACAGCCCAAATCATACTGACAGTCCCTCTATGGTGCTTCCCGCAGCTCCTCCCGGCTGGGCTGGAGGACTGTGTCTCTGACTGCACTCCACGCTGCACACCTCTCGCCTCTTCCTCTCAGCAGCAGTACAGTATGAACTGTGTTTGGAAGGGCCAGATTCAAATGGAGATATCCCAAGGGCCCCACAGAGCTTGACAATCCCTTGCCCAGTACGACTCACAACGAGAATCAGCAGTCCTGCAACCAGCACAGGATGCAGAGTCAGGCTACAGGAATGGTCACGGGAGCAGTATAACATGCAGCTTCAACCTCCTTTACCTGGCTGGGGAGCCTGGGCAGCTTCCCTGGCCAGAAGAGCAACATGTCCCAAGACACACCTTGCACTACAAGACTCGGTACAGCCTCCCACAAGCAGCACAGGCAGAGCTGGCCGTTCCCTAGCGCTCTTGCTCCTACTCCCACGGCTCACAAGTGCCCGCACACCCTGTCCAGCAGCAGGGACGCCCTGCGGCACAAACGACAGGTTCTGAGCCCCGGCCCGATGGACACACTGCCAGCCCACTGCCCCCTGCATACTCAGCCGGCGAAAGTTGAACCGGTAATCTTTCCACTCTTCCAGGTTGCTGGTGTCAAACACGGAGCTGGGGCTCAGGCCATTCTGGGAGTCGCTGAGGATCTCTGCCATTGCCCCCTGGTCCCCTCTCAGCACGGCCTGCCAGTAGGCCTGGGCAGGGCCTTTCATCTTCTGTGTGCAAATGGGCTCCTCATTCTCATCCCCTGTGCCCATGATGCTGCCCATGATGCAGCAGCCAGAGCCCCAGCAGGAGCCAGGCTTGGGCCTGCAGTGGCCTCCTGGCCAGGCTTGGTTCTGAGGGGGCAGCCCCACCAGCGCCCTGTGCTCTGCACTCAAAGGCCACCCGTGCGCACTCTGCCTGGGACAGGGACGTGCCACTCCACCAGTTGGCTGGCTACAGCTTAGGTCTCAGCCGATCTATTCTGGGGGACCTTGTGACCAAACGTGTGGCCAAGAGGCAGAAAAGGACACCTCTCAGGCCACATCTCTGCAGCAACTGACTGTGAAGGGAAAGGCCCCATACAAAGCAAGGCAGAAGAGAACAGGGCAACACAAAGAGGTCTCACATCCAACCACTCTATTGCTGTATGCATCTTGAATTTTGGCCCCTCATTTAACTCCTAGACTATCTTCACCCACCCAGGCAACAAGAGAATGACCCAGCTGCCTCCATATACCAGTGTGCACTGGTCAAACCTTGCCTCCTTTTTTATCTCCAGCTCTGCAACCCCCATCTGCTGGTTCAACCCAAGCCCATGGCACTAGACAGGTTTCTAAACAAATCAGAGGAAAGTTCTTTTTAATCAGGACTTAAAGTCACAGGACAGATAGAAATGGGTGCAAGGATTGGAAATGGTCCAATACAGGTAGTGTAAAAACATATAAGATAATTAAACTTTGGAACCCCTCCTATTACTCCTTGAAATTTAGTCTTGCAGACTGCTCCTGAACAGTTTTAATACTGCCCTTTCCCATCCTCTGACAATCCCCTTCATTATAGTTCCTCACTGCCATTCCTTCACCATTAGATTGTGGGGGAACTATTTACACCATGGAGCTATAAGCCAAGGTAATTGACTCCAATAGACCACCAAACAATGATTATCTGGGGGAATCAATGAAGAGGATAAGAAATTCTACTCTCCGCAGGAGGGGAAACAAGTGACCAAGCTGTATATTTGCTCACAATCTCCAGCATCCTCTGTTTGTGCAGATTTCACCACCAACTAGTCCAGCTATAGTAAAGTGCATAAAAGGGTAGAGAGAGGGAAGCCTCTGCAGAGTACCTCACCTGCTGTGATTCTCAGTTTCCCCAAAGCTATAAATAGGTACCCAGCCAGAGCCAGAGTTCTCAGCTCACAAGAGCATTGCCAGAGAGACAAAGGGCTACACACTAGGTAGTGTCAGTAACACGGTTCAACTTAGACCTCCTCTGGGCTCCTTCAAATATCAGTTGGGAAATTCAAATATCAGTTCCTGGTCTTAGGAAAGGTTGTCACTGGAATCTACCTTTATGGTTGATCACTGGATAGATTTTTGGAAAGAGTCCCAAAATGTCCCTTTGGTCAGGGACCAAAGCCACCAAAGTATTAGGTAGGCTTGCCTTTGGTTTCATGTTTTGTTGTTGTTTTCTTCTGTATCCTTACTTACAGGTCTTGCACCTGGGGAAGAAGAATCACAGAATAACCAGTACAGGCTGGGGACTGACCTTCAGGAGAGCAGCTCTGCAGAGAAGGACCTGGGCGTCCTGGTGGGTGACAAGTTGACCATGAGGCAGCAGTGTGCCCTTGTGGCCAAGAAGGCCAATGGCATCCT